ATAGATGTTTAACATACAATCTCTAATAATAAGTTTTGGACATCTTGTGCTATTAATGATAAGGCTCTTGCAGCAAACCATTTCATATTATTCAATTGACAGAATTAAATTTGACAATTACAACAAAAGATGGAAAGGGTTGCAAAAGCTTATAATAATTAATGGATTTTCAGGCCATAGAGTTCAGTGGCATTATTGTATATATCCCATGTGCTCCTCTTTGTGGGGTCAAACTTCCACTTCGTACTGTATAAATGTTGAAATTTGCAGCCGACGCCCTTGATTGAGTAATAATGCCCAATGGCACTTATAAATTCTTGCAAAGTCCACTAAATAGATCGAAGGTCTCTCGGTGTATAATAAATAGAAATGATATTAATAACGTATAGTTATAGAGTTCAAGGATTTTATAATGCGGCTAAATACAATAGAAAACATTGGTCAAGTAGGAATTCCAACCCATATACCATGGTGCCAAAAAATGTAAAGACTGCTCCCAACCCTTCCGTTGTGTGTAAGAAAACGATGTTTATACATCATTCCATTCGATATCCATAGACATATGTTAAACATAGACTTTCTTTATTCTCTTCCCCATTCTTTTATTTTTTATGGACTTATTTACGGAGTTTCTTCTTAATGGTTTTCAAGTAAGCTTCTAATTATCAACCAATCAGATTCATTAAAAGTATTTTTTGCGGGAAAGAAATTTTTAAGAAACGAAGCTTTCATTTGCTATTAACACGTTCGGAGTAATTGCGCAGTGGGGTTAAGATAAGTGACGAGAATAACGATCTTGAGTAAAAGGTTCTAAACATTTGGTACATCAAGGGTTAAGGGTCAATACTACATTAATCCTTAATTAAAAGAGAACATTAGATGTGTCTTTACTATTTGTTGTTGACGTTTAGTAATAAACGTTTTGTTGAAAATGACAAGGTCACGCTAGTGAACTGACAATTGTTTTGTCACCTGAATGCTATTAATGTTGTTTATTTATTTATTCAAAGTGATGAGGACCTCATTAATAACAGGATCACACTAACTACCTTTGACTAAACGGTAGGATTTCATCACCCTAAATGGTTATAAAACTGCTTTTGATACTTATTAAACTTTTATAAACTACCAAATCAAGAGCACAGAAGCATCCAATAGTACCAATTAAATCCAACTACCTTTTTACTACGACTAGCAACAACTGCCTTGGCGATATCAGCATCTGCTTGAAGCTAACGTCATTAACTTTAGTTCTTCTGTTTTACTAATTGGTATTAGATGACCAAACCAAAACAAACCAACAACATCCATTAGACTATCTTAAGAATTAGAGAAGGAAGATGATCGAGTAATTCACGACTCACCATCAAAGGCCGAATTTCACTGCCATGTGCAAATGGCAAACTTTCAGATTGTAAAGCAAACATTTAGATTGCAGAAGCATTTATAAGAAGTAGAACATCTTTCAGATTAGGCTTTCTAAACGAAAATGAATACAATACCAGCCAAAATGATTCAGCTTATTTCGGACTGACAGTGATGGTCGATGAGATCGATTAAGATAACCCAATTAAGATTCTGGTAGTTCCAGTCTGAGAATCTTATCAGTGATGTTAATCTGAAATTATGGATTCTCGGCTCAATAGTCGATTGTGTAAATTAACAGTATCAAATGTAAACATTGCGATATTAAAGACCTTACAGCGGTATATCTGATTTCATGTAAGACTCTAAAGCATTGCCGCGATGTTTCTCGAGCTTCATGCAGGTGCCTAATTCCGAAGCCTTTAGGACCACTGTGCTATCTTTGGTTGGAAACAGGATTTTTTTTGCAGCTATCCTTTCATTTTCGACTTACAACAGGTCTTCATTCCTGAGAAGGTACAGGATCATCTAGGAACCTAAACCCCATTTCATTTCAGATTGTCTTCACTGCTGCTTTTAAGTCAATGGATGCTTACCCTCTTGGATGAACTTCCAGAGACGCTACTTCCTCGCAAACTGTAGAAAGCTACTTTTTGTGAAATATCTATCTAATAGCCCTCCTTTAATTAAGGAAGATATCCACTTGTATATATCTAGCGAGTAAATACTATATTCAACTCCGATTAAATGAGTTAACATTCAAAGGAAAACCACCAATTTAATGATCGATCATGAGCATGATAGTTACAATAAGACAGAGAATGTTATCGTCCCCTTTTCAACCTTGGGGCGTTCTTACAACATCATGGTATTTCTCTTTTCTTTATTCGACTATATTCACGATTTCGCACTCACTTGCTAAGGATTTCGCCGAAGAAAAAAAACGTGCAGTGCTTTGCAACCTTCAATTTTTTAATTGCCTCAAAACTGAACTTCAAAGAAGATTTCTTGGCCTGGCCATACCTTCAGGGTTCAAGGTAAACCTTGACACCAACTTGACAAGACCATTCTTAGTTTTTTTCAATCTCTTTCACCAACGTTTAAAAAGTTAAGAGAAAAACAGGTGGCAAATGATTTGTTTTTTTTTAGGTAAATGTCATTTGTGCACTGCATGGAAACCGTCTAAAGTATGATTTAGATTTAGATTATCTCCCTTGTATATTACCAAGGACCATTTCACCGATTGTGCCATTATTAGTGAATAGGGCATCATTTCACACTTGGTTCTTTTCAGCCGTAGCAATGCACATGCTTCATATTCAGTGTCATTTCCTTTTTTATCCATCGGCATAGGATTACATTTATTTCTTAATTCTATAGCCTTATAGTTCTAGTTATGAAACAGCCCCTATCATTCTGTTTCCAATTTTTTGAATCATTTTGGGTTTAGAGTCTTAGCAAACTTACACAGTTAAATCATTTGCAGCCATTGTTACCACAGACTCGGAACTGTACGGCTCAGTCGGTTGTACAGCGCTTACGGTTAGTCGGACTCTTGCGGCCACACGTGGTGTAGACTTAGAATTGGTATTTGGGGTAGACTCATAACCAAAGTCTGGATATCATTGCAAGAAAGATTATGTCTGATGGACCGTATTGATAAAGATCCTGTCGTACTTTTATCACTTGGGTTACTTTGGTGGGTTGGGCTACTTTGATACTATATGTCCGATAACCACAAAATGGAACTTTTTAAGAAAATATTGACCAAGTCGTTCTATTTCTATTATATTTATGACTAGCTATAGCTTTAACTGACTAATAATAGAGATAAGCTTTTGTTGACAATTGTCGATTGCCCTATATTATACATGTTATGACACAAATATGTCATGGCACATTCCGAACAAACTAGGGGCTGATAAAGGGTTATTTGATATGATAATAAGAGTCCTATAAATGGATATGAAGGGTCAGTGACATTCAAGGAGGATATGTAGGAAATGGAATTCAATATGGATAGCTTGTAGGTTATTCTGCTTCATAAGCTCTAACACGAGAATTGTGAAAATCTGCTGCTTTGATCCGAGCAAGCAGTGTTTAAAAGTTATACTTTGGAAAGCAAAGGTTTGCGATATTCAGAACCCCCATTTAATTAATGCACGTTGTTTTGTTATTGTTTGTTTTGGGCGGTACCATTGAGACCCATGTATCTATTCATTCCTAGTTTTAAGATTCGCAAAGTTGTATAAGTATTTGCATCATGAGATTGGGACATTTGCATAGAAAAGCAAGATCATCTCAAATCGTCGTCTCTTCAAATACCCCTTTTGGATTTTGTGTTTTCAATTGTTTGCAGGTAAATTTGAGCTTGTAGCATACTATCATGGATATTCCTATGAACATTTTCAGTTAACTTGACTTATAATAATACCCCATTTAAATATTTTCTGACTGGACTATAATATTGCATATCATTATGTAATCTTCTCATGTAATTCTATAATCTGTTACTATTTGGGATTTTCCGATTATTCATTATAAAATAGGATTAGTCTTTTCCGTTGTTTTATAGAAAGACTTGCTGACTTTAGATCTATATTTAAATGTTATTCAATTCGGGTATTACTTTTTTCATTTTGGTTTCTTAGTCATTTGGTTAAAGGGTCTTCGATAAACCACAAGAAAAGTATCATGAGACTTTCTTTCACCACCTTAAAACATCTTACGCAATATTCAATGAATGAACTGAGATGGAGTTTTACGTCATACAATTTGCAATGAGGAAATTTAATAGCCTAATATTGATATTGTCGAAGGAGCTTTAATGTGCGGGCCGTTGTGTTTCACAATTGTTAGGAAATCAAAGCGAAAGGACAGCAGACATGGAAGAAGATTTGAACTGAAACACTTATAAACTTGCAGACGACAATGTAAGTTTGTGATCAAATGGTGAATAGTGTTCTACAAGAGCAAGCATCTATAAGTTAAGTCCAATTGAAACTTGTCACATGACTTAACAGTATTCACACCTGTCATTCATGAAATGAGTCTGATATTTATAGCCGACTTGGTATTTTAAGCGTATGATAGGCCTATATTGAAAGGTAGGCTGGCTATACCGACAGATTCAACTATACACTATATAGACGTTTGGACTCAATAAAACTCTAACATTTATTCACTATCAGTGAAAGCTAACGTGTTTCTCGACTAGGATAAAAGTTTGTTTAGTTCGTCGTTGACGTTTTTCTTCGAAGACGGTTGGCTGTCATTTCAAAGTTTAGGGGCGGTATCTTCTCTTTTTAAACATGCTACTCACGAATTTGCAAGTCCCCTACTACTAGTTTATGTGGAGTTATGGTGGCGGCGTGCGTCTATAAACCCGAATGGCTTAACACACCGGAAATAATTTGAGTCGTGTTTTAGCAGACAGCAAAAGTGTTTTATTTAAAAGATAAAGTTTAGTGAATGTGGTTGTGATGTCGCACCGTTGGAAAATGTACGTTTTACGGTGCGTCAAATTTTCAGAATTCCGTGCCGGGTAAAGGATTTTAGTACGTATTCATTTAGATGACGGCATGATCACCCAAAATTCGAGCGCTTTTCTGCTGCTTATACTTGTCGGAGGATTTTTAATTCTTCTCTGCAGTTATTCAGTGAGTGCTTTAAGTTGTGGAGTATGCGATAAGTCAAGATGTCCGGATGAGCCGACAAATTGTCTCGGAGGAGTTACTAATGGAAGTTGTGGGTGCTGTAAAGTTTGTGCTAAATTAGTTAACGAAAGTTGTGGTGGAAATTTCGGACTTCTAGGCAAATGTGCAGACAATTTACGATGTTATATTTCCCCAAAAGTTGGACAGTCAATTACGGGGAGAGAGGAAGGTATTTGTAAAGGTAAGTGGATTTAGAACTGATTGTGTGATAAGCTGTAATATACTTGTTATTCTGTGACAGTGGTGTATATAGCCAATAACGCCCGGGCAATAACATTGATATACCATATGATCTTTACATACATCTTGATAATAACATACCTGGCCAGTTGTGCAATAATATGTTAAATATTGTAACTGTCGATTTTACGATGTGTTATGAATTCGGGAACATCAATATAAATACATATCAAACTTAGCTGATTTGTCATTGACACTTTTTAACAATATTATTTGAAAAATGCTGACTTCCAGAACATTTTCCAAAACGGGACCTTAGGTATATTATCTGCTACAATTATTAAGGTATCACATTATAGTATATTATTATCATGCTACATAAACTCATAAATAACCATCTTTGCCGGGGGGATGAATAAAAAAAAACTTTATAATTCCTGAAGGTATATAGCCTATAAGTGCTCAGTGCTTTGGAGTCACATTTACACTTGAAACTTACAACCAAGTCATTTCTCACGTAATCTTAGTGTTGGACAGTTTCTTGACTAACAAGAATTCAACACTAATTCAATTAGGTCTATATAAAGACATTTCAAGCTATTTTATTATATTGAACAAAATAGGGGGTGTTTTCCTATAGACACAAAATTATAAAAGAACTTTTTGATGACATTTATTTATGATTTGTCCTACTTATAATGTTGAAATCACCTTATTTTTGACACCCTAGTGAGAAAGGAATGTTGCTAGGTGTAATAGCTATCATATCTTATAATTTGAAAATTTACTAGGTTTTATTGGCACATAATGTTAGGTTATTATGAGTTTCTACTTTACTAACGTCTGGTAACCACTTGTTGCCTACAACTCCATCATACTGGGCCAAAGAATTTGGAAGTGGGCCAAATCTCTAACTTTAAAGAAGATGTCATTCAGACTTGAATAGTGTTAGGAATTCAATTGTTTTTATACTTATCTAATGACAAAAGGGTGTAGAGGTTAATTCAGAATTTGTAGGTAGGGAGAACTGGGGATTGATGGGGAAGCTTTGATAGAGATAGAGTGTTAAAGAGTGTTTGACATTTATTTTCGGGTGAAAATTTATTTTAGGCAGAAATTATGTGATTCTGTTTCGAAAATTAAGGGGATGTCTTATGCTCCAGGAAAACTGAGCATACCCTATACTTAAAACTTTCCTTTAAGAGAATGAAATATTTTAATTTCAGTAGTTGCATAAAATTGTGATTCAGTCTTTTATTATGTCTAGTTTATAAAACAGTTTCTACAATCTGTTATTCTATTATAAATCTTCTCCTAAATTATAAATTTGTGAATATTTTAAATTTCATGAGGCCTATAAATAAACTTGTATATAATTTAAAAGATAGTGATGAAATGGAATAGAAATTATTTTATAATATATGGTCAAAATGGTGTTTATGGGTGTCAACAGGGAGGGGGAAAAATTTAATTTTTTTCCTTTAGTTTCTAAAGAGTAAATTTGAAACAATTAGAATACACATACACACAATTGACAAAACCTGGAGCCCAAAAAACCCTGATTTTATCTTAAATCTGGGAGCTGAATTATGGAAAACCTGTCATTGTCAGATCTCTACCACAAAAGGGGACAAATGGAAAGTCCTTAACAGATTGGTTACCTCATTGACATGACAATAGAAGACAACCAATGGCTATTGACAGCTCATCCTAAGTCATTTCAAAATAACATGTTAATTTGGTAGTAATTGACAAGGGGAGGTAATTTAGGGTGTTAATGACATTATTTACAGTGATATAATCTACTCTTCACTTGTCAATCAAAACTGAACCTCTATGGTTTCTTCTTGAAATGGCCATTTGGTTGTCTTACCATCTAGATTTCAGGGTAATGTAAATGACAGGTGTAGTCTGCAGTAGGTAGGCCTTATTGAGGGAGTTAACAACTCAGATTTTAGGAATCTAGTTCAAAATGATCTTTTTCCAAACTTATTGAATTGGTCGTGATTGTCATACCTTAACTTTCAGAAAAATTGACTGAAATGATGGACTACATTTAGGTGACAAGATTTTCATAATCACAAAGCAATTCAAAGCAGGCAATCTGTAGGCTACTCACAGATTGGTTAATGGTTTGCTTGAAAATGTTTGACTGCATCAGTGGGTTAGTGTATTAAACTCTTGTGCTAAACCCAGGAGTACTATGTTCTATCCTAATGACTTAAAGTTTTGCACGGATGAGCATGAAACTGTAATATTATGTTTATTCTCTCATCATTCACTCTAATGTTCTGAGTTTCATTTCCCTCAAATATTGAAACAATTCATCTTAATTTAGTGGAATTGACAAATTAGATATGACAATTATACTTCAGTGTGGTAATGTCTTTATTTCTACTGATAACTTAATCTGCTCTTCAATCAATCTTCAATAAAGGTAGACATAGTGCTTGTATAATGGTGTCATTATATAATTAGCCACAGAAAAGTTCTTAATGTGTCTGTAGATCTTTGGAAACATTTTGGTGTCATGGCAGAATCATTTTTAGCCCCTTTAAGCCCCTTTTACACTAGGCTGTGATAAAGTTAGTAAGTTACAGATCACACTGCATATGACTGGCCAGAAAGCCTGATAAAAGTCAGAAAACAGTAGGGGAAGACCAAGCCTGAGTGAAATGAACATTAACCTTATAAGGTGAAACAAGTTACAAATTGTTTGCGACATCTTCTCATTGGTATTCATTAATTAGATATGTTATTACATTATTACTGTCAATATATAATTGTGTACATGTCAGTTTTTATACAGTAAATTGTTTGTCAGTTTTATATTGTCAGTATAGCCAACATAGAAATTATCAATTTAGAAAATCAATTGTAAGTCTGAGTTTATTAAAGGGGTTGCAAGGATATTGAAGACACACAACTTCATTGATTTGAAGGAAGGTAATTCACTTGCTCACTTTACAATTTTACATTTCTTAATGTTTTACTGAATGACATTGATTTCTGAATACATACATAACCATGTATCCAAGATGCTAAGAAGGATTCACTTTTTGAGATTAACAGTGCATCTTTATGGTGATTGCTTTTAATAGATCTTAAGATCACCAAGTCATTTCTCTTCAAGCACCAACACCTTATTACTTACTGAACATATCTATTGTTTTGAAAAGTAATTTAATTCAGTAATAAAAATGTAATTTTCTTTTTCAATATGGACAAATCATTTGGTTAAAAGAAAGATGATATCAATGTTCGATTTGAAATCAACTTATTAGATTGGTCGAGATTGTAATTAGCTAGTGTTTGTTATCAGAAGATTGATAAAGATTCTATTACACTGGCTGTGATTGTTTTCACAAATTGGTATTTGTCTTCTGCTTCACAACTGATAATAATTAAACTGACTTCCATTAAATCCATCACTTTAATGGTCGCCATTCTTTATAGTTTGGCATTGTTCTTGACCAGTACTGATGCTCTCATATCCTATATTTTACTCATTTATTGATGTTAAGCAGAAATTGACCACATTAATCAATTTGCGAATATTTTATATTATTCCTAAATTTGATTACATTTGATTGATTTTACTGGGTCATTTGAAATTTCTTTGCAAGTGGCTTGCCATTATAGCTAATAAGTATTTTTATTCATTAGCTATAAGATGGCTATGTTTCTTGGATATGACGTCCTTTAAGGCCCATTTCCCTAATTTTGTACGGAACTAAGAATACATTGTAGAACTGTTGATCTGGCCATTTTTTTTAAATTATGTTGTGAGCAGGTCTCCCCTTGTACCACTATTTAAGAGGGACAGGGCCTAGGATAGCCCTGGTGAAGTCAAGTCAGTGTATTCCTCAACAATCAACACCATGTATCTAGTTATATGTATGGTATATGATACAGTATCATTTTCAAGTGGATTATCTAAAAATTATTTAAGCCTATTTTGATAAAATATGTATCTATATTACCAGTCTATTATATGATAGGCTTTGATACAAGAATGTCATTTGAAATAAGTATCATAATATCATGTCACACCCAGTTTTTGTTATGGTGGGATTGGACCAGATGACAAGCCAAGTGGAATTATTGAAATATCAATTTTCTAGACATAATTAGGCCTATGACTAATAAACACATGGATTTATGCATAGCATTATGTGTTAGATTGTTACTATTCAAACAATATAAATGTGATATATTAAATTTTACATTTTGTTATTGTTTTTGTCCTTATTTCCAATATTTTGATTTTTAGCTATGATGAAAAATTCTGATATTTACATAAATTTGAATACATGTATTATTTTGCCATGATCAAATTTTTTCCCTCTTTTTTATGTTGTTATTGAAGAGTATAGACAACTGGTGTCCTTAAGACTAGCAAAAAGATTGCTTTTTATTCCATATATAGTTTGAGATATAAAAAAAACAGCATCTATTTGGGCTCTCTGAAAAGACATAAATTTTATGAAGTTTGACAGTAACAAAAGATTTTGAGAAATCTGAAACATTGTGGCACACTTCATCTCAACACTGTATGATCTAATCTTATGGCAGACTACAGGTGAATTTTTTACCTCCTTAACTAGAGAACACCTGCCCATGACACCCTTTGAAATTTATTTTACACCTTAATCATATGGAATATAACACTATTGAAAAAACCTGAAAATTAGCAGAAGTATTAAGCAAAAGACATTATTCTAGTACAGATTTTTGAAATTCCTGAAATAGCAAATCAATTGTGTGGGGTATTATATTTGTCAGCTGGAGATGGGTTATATGAAATTCAATGTTATGTTGTCATTGTAGATAATTGTTAAGAGGCGATAGATAAATAGGTTACACACACTGTGAGTTTATTGTTATTGCCATTCTGTAGTCCCTGTGTCTTTGCCAATGTAATGGCCTCATGTTTTGTGTATCAAATTTAAATTGCAAATTATAGACAAAGATTAATATCAGTTATAAATATCATTTAGT